TTGCCCATCTCTTTATTCCGTAATTAACGGGTGTTTTGGCCTGTCTGCCCTGCTGCCAGAAAACTGGAGAGTGTGGGAAGCGTTCCGAACATCCCCCTGATGTTGAGAACCCTTAAACTGCCTCCCTGCGCCTGTTGACCTGGACCGCCTTGCCTCACCCCTCCCGAGTCTGCACCCAGGGTTAGACCCTGCCCTGCACTGGGGACAGGCTGATTCTGTCCGTTTAAGCCTAGTTAGGGCTACTCCAGGGGGAGCGGCCATACTTAAGGTCAGTATCCTGTTGGGTGTAATTCTTGGAGTAAGTGGTCCAAGATAAGGGGGGTGACTCCATGAGACAAATGGTTTTCTGGTCCTTTTGATTGTGCGGCAGGCCTTCAAAATCCTTTATGTAAGCCGGCGGCCACTGGCACATGCAGTGCCTTTGTGTAAATTATTCAAAGACACCCCTTCCTTAAGACACTATATATTCAGCTGCTGGGAAACTTAGGAGAAATAAGAGTTTGGGGTTTCAATGGGCACAACCCCTGAGGAAGCAGCTTTGTCTGCAGGTGGGCTGCTACCTCCGAACCAAGCAAAGAGTCTGTGTGTCCTTTGATTGGAGGGCTTCTGAAGATCTCTCCTCTCAAGCTCCCATCTTGAGAGAGAGAAAGAGAGAGAGCGCCAGAGCGAGCCCTGGGGGATGTGGCTTAGTGGATTGTGCGCCGGCCTGGGAACCCAGTCAGGGCACATGCCTGGCGTGTGGGCCGGGTCCCCAGTTGGGGTATGTGAGAGGCAACAGATTGTTGTTTCTCTCCCTCTCCTTCACCCTCCCTTCCCTCTCTAAAAATAAATAACATCTAGAAAAATAAAGAGAGGAGACTCTGCAAGTTCTCCAAGTGATGGGGCTGGGACCACCACCAGATAGTCGTAGGGGGTTTCCCTGGCTCAGGCCTGTGTCCTGGTGAGGAGCGTGGAGCCACCCAGCCTGGGTTTGAATCCGGTGGCTCCCTGTGGCACCTCAGGCAAGTTCCGTAATGCCTCGGGTTCTCACCTGTGAAATGAAGGTAATGAATACACGAGGATGCACTTGAACACTTAGCACAGGGCCTGGCCAGAGTGACAGCTCAGGAGTGCCTGAGGGGGTGTGGCCTGCACAGAACAGGGGGGCCACGGCTCTGCCTGGTCCAGGGGAGTGGGGACTCTGCCCCTGATGGACTTGTGCCTCATGCCCGATAAAAACTGCATGGCCCCTGGGGACCGAACTTCCTGCGCTGGTCACTGTGGGGCCAACGAAAACTGGTGTTCAGTAGACAGTGCAGGTCGTGGGTCAGCGTTGTACTTCTGCCTCGGGTCACGTGGCCAGGAAGACGGCCAAGGAAGCGTCTTCTCTGAGTTTGTTTCAGCTGTAAAAGGGACCCGCTGCCCACTGAGGGCCAAGTGAAGTCCTGGTGGGAAAGCTCTGAGGCTCCCCTGGACTGCGGTGGGATTTCAGTGCCAGTGACCGTGACCCTGGTGTGCTGTGAGGGGCTGGGCCTGGCCGCAGTGACGCCTTCTCCTGCAGGTGCACGTGGGCTTCCGCGCCTTGGGCATTGCCATGATGGCCACCACCAACTCGCTGATGTGGACGTTCTTTAGCCGGGGCCTCAGTTTCTCCGTGTCATCGGCCGTTGCATCTGTCACAGTGACGTTTTCAAACATCCTCAGCTCGGTGAGTAGCCGGAGGGTGCAGTCCCCCTGTCCCAAACGTGCGTTCTGGGTGGGGGGTCCTTGGGGGACCCCTGCTCCCCTGGAGAGGAGAAGGGTCAGGGACCGAAGCAGAGGGCAGGGCTGTGGCTCGGCCCCTGTGGCTCTTCCTCTGGTCTCCCAGACCGAGGAATTCCAAGTTAGATGGGCACGAAGTCCAACGGTGAAGCCAGCCTGCATGCCGCGGCTCCAGGCCGCAGCCCTCCTTCCCGTCTGTGCGCCGGCCCGGTGTGTCCTAGGGGCCGGCCCGCTCCAGCGTGAGCTGCGCAGGGCCTAGGTTCCCTCCCCCGGTGGCCTGAGGGCAGCCAGGTGGGCCGAGCCCAGTCAGTCCTGCAGGAGGGGAGGGAGGACGCGGCGGGCCAGCTCGGGTGGGCGGGCACCAGGGGCCAGCTGCCAGCCTCTGCTGGTCTGGTGCGCTCTGCTGGGGTCCGATGCCCTGAGGAAGGTGCCTGCCCCGCTTCTGCAGGTGAGTTCACAACGAGTAGAGTGACTTGCTGAGGGTGACAGCAAGGTCTCACGCCCAAGACTTGCGGCTCCAGGCCCTCCCTCCTGCCCTAGGAGGGCAGCCAGGCACCGGGGAGCGGGGCCGGCCCCCCTGCCGCGTCTCCGGGCTACTTCACGGCTGTCTCTGTCCCGCAGGCCTTCCTGGGTTTTCTGCTGTACGGCGAGTGCCAGGAGGCCCTGTGGTGGGGAGGCGTGTTCCTCATCCTCTGCGGGCTCATCCTGACCCACAGCAGCCTGCTGCCGACCCGGAAGGCCCTTGCTCACAAGCAGCAGTAGCGTCGGTGGCTGCGTGCGTCAGCTGGAGAGACAACAGTGGTGGCTCGTGCACGGGCTGGCGCGTGGGGACACCTCCCAGGTGATCTGGGGTGCAACCTTCCGACGGTCAAGCGAAGGGAGATGCAGCCTAGGGCAGCAGGCTCTGCCCCAGCGGCCTTGGGGGCGGACAGCCCCGGCTACTGCAGGGGAACTGCGCACAGCAGGGCGCTGCCTGGCGAGACCTGGTGCAACCCCACGGTGCTTTGATGCTCGCCCTCCTGGGCCGCCCAGGGGCCTTGGCAGATGCTGGGACCCTGGGGTGGTCTGCCGCGTGGACACACTGGAACCACGCCGTCTTGGCTGCGCTGTGGCCCAACCAAGGCCAGTCTTGTTTCACCAGAGTCGGTGACTGGCGGGGCTTTCGGACAACTCCGTGCCGGTGTGATGGGCCGCCTGGGTCATGCTTCTGAGTCACGGCAGGAGGAGGGAGACCGGGTTCGTGCCCTTTTGTAAATGAAAACCGCCAGGTCCGGAATACTAATTCTTTCCAACATTTATTTTCCTTTCCTGATGTTTTGGGGTTGCAGTTCCTGCAGTGCGGTTGCCAGGCCCCCACCTCCTGGGCCTGCCAGGCACACGGTTGGTCCCTTCTGGCATCAGCCAGGCGGGCGCTCCTCAGATCCGGGAGGGTCCGCCCATTCTCGTGGTGCTGACAAGAGAAGCTTGACCTCGCTTTGGGAACCCGGTTTTATTTCACTCACTAGGAAAGGAAAATGGCGCGGAGGCTGCTCTCACCCCACATGCCACCCGCAGGCCCCCCTGTCCCTGGATGACCTCTCCCAGATCCTCGGGGGACCCGTGTGTCTCGCACCATGTAATCGTGGTCCCAGTTCAGGGTCTGTGTGCTGCCCGGGCACTGTCCCCGCGCACGGCCCCAGGTGTGGCACCCAGCTGCTCCGGTTCCCCGGGCTCCCCCGGGGGTCTGAGGGCCCTCAGCCCGCCCGGACCTGACCGCTGGCCCCAGTCGTCACACGTTTCCTGCAGTCGAAGGGACTCGGGGCCAGGAGCCTGGGGGAGAGACGGGTCCCGCCCAGGCCGGTCCCTCCTCCCTGTGCACGCAGCGTCTTCATTGCCCTCCACTCCTCACTGCACAGGGACAGGTGGGCTTTCTGGAACTTCCGTGGCTCCTGCTGATCGGGCTCTGGCCCCAGCCCACCTGTCCCCAACTTCTGTCTTGCTGCCTTCTTAATACCCCCAGGATCAGGCCCGGGCACCCCAGTGTTTAGAAGTCAGGGGGACGTGGAGGAACTGGCTGGGTGAGCAAGCAGACAGCGGGGGGGTGGGGCAACCAGGCAAGGGTGGTGTCCTGGGAGCACCTGAAGAAAAAGGCTGCGGTCCCCCAGGCTAATGCTGAGGGTCACCTAAGGGGGAGATGGAGAAATGGCCCCAGTCGGGGACAGAAGACTCTTTGACAAGAGCAGCGTGGAGGGGTGGGAGGAGGGGTGGGCCAACATCCCCTCCTGGTCGAAACACTCAGCAAACCGGGATTAGAAGGAACTTCCTTAGCGTGACAAGCGAACGCCACACACAGCAGTGAAACGTGGAGAGCTGTCCCCCAGGGTCAGGGACAAACAGGACAGCGGCTTTTCCGCCTCCTCCCTCCTCCACGTGCCACCGGAAGTCCTAGCCGGAGTTCCAGAGCCAGAACTCCCCCGGCCGGAAGGAGGAAGGGCCTGCCGTTGGAAGGAAGAGGAAAGGTTGCCAGTGTCAAAGGTGACTTGATCTTCAAGTGGAAAACTCTGGATTCCAGGAGGAGCCCGCCCCCTTTCTCAGAAGCCTCAGGCAGGCCCTGGGGAGGGAGACTCCACCTCCGGCAGCAACCCCTTCCTCTGCCACTGCGGTCCTGAGAAGCCCTTCCTGCCCCCCAGACTTGCTCAGATGCCCCACACGCTCTCCATTAACCACCGCTGCTTCCGGAGCACTGGGCCCCGGGCCGCTGCTTCCAGTGAACAGGCTTCTCAGCATCTCGTGCGGGGCCAGGTGGGCCCCGGGGGAGCCATCATATCCTCTGAACTTCCCAGGTCTGGGGGCTCCCTCTCCACGGGGCTGGGCTTCTTTATTTGGAGGCCCTGTTCAGGACACCCTCCCCCTCCCCCTCCCCCAAAGGCTGTAGCCCCCAATTATACACTTCCTGGCAGGGGGGCCCATGTGTGAGTTGAAGGAAGGTTAGTTTGTGATGTACCTGACATTCAGGTGGTGGGCTGGGTGCTCTTGCCCCAGATGCCCACCTCCCTGACACAGTAGGTGCTTAATATGTGCTCACTGCACGCAAGGCAATTCTTTCTTCTGCTAAAAAGTCTGGTTAGCGACTGCCCCCTTGCAGCCAGTGCCTGCGTGTGACACTCGTCTCCCACACGGGAAGTGGTGGGACAGTGGCTTCAGGTGACCCCGAGGAAGGATGCCCCCCGGGGCCTGGACTGAGGCCTGCTGCCAAAGACGGGAGGCTCCAGCCAGCCAGGTCACGCAAAGAGCTTTTTATTGAGAGGAGGGCGGAGGCGCCGGCTTCCCACCCAGCAGGAGCTGACGATTGGAAGCAGCTGCAGCGCGCTCCACCGGCGGCTAAGCAGAATGTTAGGCCGTCGACAGCCACCAGAGAGGAGGCCACCGTGTGGCTGGTGCGAGGAGGGCATGAGGCTCACAGTTGACTGGGGCGGTCCAGCCCTCCCAGGAGGGGCTCTGCCTCGGGGGAGTCCTATCTCGGGGGGAGGGTGGATGGCTGCAGGTTAAGGGCCTGCCCCCAACGCGTCTGAGCATGGGGGGGCTTGGGGCCAAGCTGGTCCCCAGGGAGTGCAGTTTCAAGCCCGTTGTCTCAGGGGACCTGGGGCTTACTCAGCACAGTCCTCGGACCTGGCCTGAGCTCGGCAGCGGCCGGCAAACCCTCTTGCTTGTTCTGAAGTCTAACCCCGGCTCCTCAGGGACACCGGGGCGGGGGCACTGCGTCCCTCCCCCACTGTGCTGATCCCCCCTCTCCGGGGCCGCCTTCTGCGTTAGCACAGCCGCCGCCCCAAGACCTCGGAGACCCGCTCTCCCCACGCGGGAGGCGCTGCACCCCACCCTGGCTCCAAGTCAACAGGCTTCAGGGCCGACCAGGGCTGCTCTCGCCGGCGTTACTAAGTGCCAGAGCTGGTGTGGACCCCAAAGCGGGCCTGCACCCTGTTCTGAGCCTGCGCCAGAGCCCGGCCACCACCCTCTCCTGGGACTCGGCAGGGTGCTCGGAACAGCGGTCAGGACAGTGGGCCGGCCCCTTAGCGATGAGCCCCGGAGCCTGGTGGGTCTTCAGGGGTCGGCAGGAGCTGCAGGCCCCTGGGGCGCAGGGCGTGTGCTCTCCCGTCTGGCGGGAGGGGCGGGGCTGTCAGACCGCGCGGAGAGAGCAGGCCTCTGCGGCGGTGGGGGGTGGGGTGGGAACCCAACCCACTCTCGCACCGAACCAGGGCGAACCCCTCCGTGCAGAAGATGCTTTCCCAGCGACCACTGAGGCGGGGCGCCCCTGCTCAGGCCTTCAGGCTTCATGGGGTGACCAGGGTCCCGGCCCCCTGATAGTGTCCGGGGTCGGGAGTGGGGGAGGGTTGGTCTGTCTGCCCGGCTCACAGTGCAGGCCCTGGCCCCCTCCCGCCCGCCCGGAGACAAGAGGGGCGGGATCTCGGGGGAAGGGAACTGAGACACGGGCCAGATTCGCGGTCAGTTCTGGCCCGTGGGTGGTGCGACTTCCTTCAGGTGGGCGAGTACAACGGAGTGCCCGTGGGACAGGCCGGCGACTCCCCGGGAGCCCTACATGGGGCCCCCCGCCCCCCGCCGGTGAAGGGACAACAGACTGTAGCCTCAAGGCAGGACCCGGTGACGGCTCCGGGTCCAGGGGACGGGAGCCGAGTTGGTGCCCCTGTCGTAACTCGACCCCGTGGGCCGTGTGGGCGTGGGGACCCGCTGGCCCTTCCTTGCAGGGAGCTGGGGCCGCCGGGCCTGTGCCCTGCCCTGGGCGGGCAGCAGGGGGCGCCCTCTGCAGGGAGCGGCGGGGCCCTGCTCGCAGCGTCCCGAGGAAACCGAAGGCAAGTTCTTAGCCGCCCAGGCGGGGAGAGCGGCTCCAGGCAGTCCCGCTCCGGACACCCTTCTTAGATGAACTCAGAGGCAGCCTCTTGTCCTCCTCTGTGACCCCGGCCCCCTCCCCCATCCCCGGACCTGGCCCCACGCGGGGAGAGGAAGGAGGGCTGCGGACCGCAGTGCCCGGGGAGCGGCGCGCGGGAAGCTCGGGGAGCGGGGACTGCGTCGTGCCCACGAGCGGGTCCACGGCGACTCCTCCCCGCGACAGCATCACTCGTCTGTCACCTCCGCCGAGTCCTCGGACTTCCTCTCCTGCAGCCGCTCCGACGACGTTTCCGCGTGGCCCGACAAGGACTCCGCCTGCCGCACCCAGCCCCCGTCGTTGAGCAGCTCTGGGTGGCACGGGCCGGAGAAGGGGTTGAACCAGTTCGGGGAGAAGTCCCCACCGAAGGTCTCCCGGACTGTCTCCCAGCTGCCCTGGTGCTCCCTGGGCTGGTGCTTTCGTTTGAGGCGCTCAATGCCCTGGGGAGACAAGGGGGTCAGGAGGGTCAGCACCACGGGACAGGCTGCGCCCCTCCGGCGCCCCCAGCCCTGGCACAGCAGAGCGCTGACGCCCCTCAGAGGGCTGCCGGGGTGTGGTGGGGAGTGGGGTGGAGGGTCCCAGCAAGCAGGGCCTTCAGGAGGCCGGGGCTCCGCTTCCCAGCCCCACCCAGGGGCGAGGGTGATCCGGCCTCACTCAGTGGGGCCAGCTGTGCCCAGGGGCCAGGCGGGTCGCGGGGGGGCCAAGGAGCAGCACCTGAGGCCTCTGGGGCGTGAGCTGGCCCACCTGTCTTGAGACCACTGAAAAGGTGACCCCTCCCTTAGCATTCCGGGCCACTCCCCCACGGCAGGCGGGAGGCGCAGCCAGCTTAGCGTGGAGAGAGAGGACGGGGTGAGGGGGGCAGCGCAGGGCACAAGCAGCACGCGAGGAGAGGAGGCAGAGGCGTGCGGCTCCAGACAACATGCAGCGGGCGGCTGGAGGGCGCTCGGGGTCGTGGCGGGCAGGTGCAGGCTGGTGTGGGGCCTGCTCATGCGGTGGACACACCCTGCGGCCGGTCCCAAGCTGCCCACTCACCTGCCTCCGGGTGTCGGCTGCGCCTCAGCCACCAGGCCACAGAAAGCGGGTGTTGGGTAGAGGGTGGAGCCCCAGGTCAAAAGCCCACGACACCCTCCACGGGGGCTCTGACCGCCAGCGGGGAAGGACAAGGGCTCTCTGCCTTCTCCATCTCCCCTGGAGCCAGGGGTACGCGCCTCGGTTTGCCGGGCGTGGGGACCCCTCCTTCTCGCCACTCCCACCTCGGAACGATCGCTGAGCCCCCAGCTCTGGTTTTCTCTCCTTTCCACACGAGACCCAATGTAACTCGTCTCATTCTTTGTTATGTAGAAAGAGAAACTGAGGCACACACAGATCCGACCCTACCCTGGGCCGCTCTCCAGCTTTCTTCCCACACCCGCTCAGAGGTGTGAGTTTCTTGGCTTCCCAAAACATTGTGGCTTAAAGAATTTGACTTCAAAGCATCCCCTCATAAGATGCTTATTAATGACAAAGGGCAAAACAGTAACTTTCCAGTGGAGAAACTTCTCAGTTATCACCTTGACCAAGTCAAAGCTCGCGGCACCCGTGCGGAGAAAGGCACAGCCCGCCAGTGCAGTGCGGCGGCCGCCCCAACACCAACCCCGCGGAGACAGACAGACGCAGCGAGGGGCGTTCTCGGAAGGCGAGGCTCGTAGTCTTCAAAGGGTTCGAGTCTGATGACAGTGGTTTAGAACCGCATAGAAGTGGTGGCTGTACAATGTTATGAAAGCAGTGAACGGCAGAGGCGCGCTTTAAAATGGTTAAATTTATGTGGTGTGAATTTCACCTAAAAAAAAGGTTCGGGAAAGACCAGGAAGACAAGGAGCTCTGGCGGACGGACCCGCGGAGACGAGAGGCGTGCCGTGTGCGGCGTCCCGGATCAGAAGGCGCCTCAGCGGGACGGCCGGGAACCTGGATAAAGCTGGCGGGTCGGGTGATGGTGGTGTGTCCACGCATTCCCAGGTTTCGCGGTCGCCATGACGGTCATATAAAACGTTTCCGTTGGAAACACGACTGGAGGGCTATGGGAGCTCCTCGCACTATTTTCACCGCTTGTTTTGTACGTCCGAAGTTATTTTACGGTCAAAGCCAAGACGATCTGACACAGCTGTGTGCAGTGCCGTCTTGGACACCGAGTCAACAATAACAAAGTAGGAAACGGTCGAAATGTCTACCAGCGACAGCTATGGAATTCAGTCTATAAAGCAGGACACTACTATGATGAATGGGGTTAGTGCATTTATACATGACATCGGAAAATGCTGTCCTCGGGGTGACAAGGGACACAAGACATCATCATGGAACCTGGGGTTCCCTTTGGGGGAGGGGCTTCACGTTTGTTTATTTCTGCAGCGCCCACACGTTCCCGGTCCCCACCCACGCACAGGCGTTCCTTATATAATCAGAACAGATGAAGCCGTTTCAGAGCACGGATCTCGTGGGCAGTGCTGAAGGAGCCCCGCCTGGCCCGGGACTTCGGGGCGCCGCGTGGCTCCCGGCCTGGCCCCCGCCGGTCTGCCCTGCTGAGCAGAGGCGGCAGTGGCCAGCTGAGGCCACACTTGCTTGGGGGACCCTGCACTGCTCTCCTGGGTGACCATCTGCAGTGTGTTAGGAGGGGGGTTTAAACCACAATTGCAAGGTATTGGGACGTCAGCACGTGGCTGCCCAGGGGACCCCCAGAAACAGCAGACGGGCTGCACCCACACGGACCGGACTCACTCAGAGCCACGACCGTGGGTTCTCGCAACCAGCCAGAGGAGGTGGGCTCCGTGTCGCACTTGGCAGCTGGGCAAACAGAGGTTGGGAGTCCGAGACAGTGGCCAGAGCTCGTCCTGCTGCCCACGCATCAGAACCGGGACTTGCACCGGAGCCTGCTCTCTGCCCAGGTCGTTTCCATCCTCCTGCACACGCTCGCTCTGCCGGTGCCGACCTCACGGGCAGAGAAAGGCTGGGGAGGGACAGGAAGCGAGAGCCCCCAGGATCGCTGGCGTCCGTTCCCGCGGCACGCTCCCGACCAGGACTCGGGGGAGCACTGGGCCTCCCCCACGAGCCCGAGGAAATGTCACCGGATGAAGTCCCTTGTGGTCCAGGGTGTCAGCTCTAGGTCTGGAGAGAAGAAATTCCAACAAATCTGCCGTGTGAGAGGCCCGAAGGTCTGAACCCTCAGGTTCAGGAGGAGTCCAAGGGGTTACTTTTTCCTGAAAAGACTCAATTTCGAGTTTTGTGTGGATTTAAAGGTGTCCTGAAAGCAAAGTTCTTTTTTTTTTAAACATTGATTTGAGACACAGACATCGATTTGTTGTTCCACGGATTTATGCATTTGTTGGTTGATTCTTGTGTGAGCCCTGACCGGGGACTGAACCCACAGCTGGGCGTACCAGGACTACACTGTGACCAACTGAGCCACCCGGCTGAAGGCCAAGTTCTGAATGAAGCTGGAGGTTTGCAGAGGCCACGGTCACACGCTCTTCAGGCTGAGGCGACCCACAGCGGTGGACTCCAGGTGAGGGGGCAGCGACGGCCCAAACCAGCACCTCCTGCAGGCAGGGTGTGACATGGGCCTTTTGGGCCTCGTTGGTCTGAGGGATGCGCGAGCTTTGATCTGTACACAAACCCACCACCGCCCCACGATGAATGTACCGAGACTCAGGGCCCACGGGCGGCAGAGACTCAGGCACCTGCTCTGTCGGGGCTCGGCTGAGCCCGGAGCCCCGTGTGCTCGGAGGGCCCCAGGGACACCGCAGGCCAGGGTGTGGGCACACGTCTGCCCAGGCTCTGCCTCTGACCATTTGGAGCCGCCACTCCTGCTTGGAGGACCTCGCTCTGTGTTCCCTCCCCCTTCTAGATGGTTCTCCACCCACAGGGCCCCTTGGTCCAGAGACCCAGCTGACAGATGAGAAGTGCAGGGCGGCTGGCCACACCGACACCGTGGCTCCCTGTGGGTGCTTTCACTGTTCCCAGTGCTCAGCAGGCGGGGTGGGGGGGGGGCAGGGGGCAGGGGGTGGCCTCAGTGCGGGCACACCCGCTCAGCACCATAGTGGACCACTTGCGGGGCGACCCCAAGGGCCCCACATGCATTTTCAGACCAGAGTGTGCGTCAGAACCACGGCAGGGCCACTGAAATCCGGTTTGCTGGGCACGCCCCTCAGAGCGGGGCCTGAGAATGTGCATTTCTAACAAGTTCCCAGGGGCGGCGGCTGCTGCTGGTGGTCTGGGCAGCACACGCTGAGATGCCTGGGGGCCTCAGTAAAGAGTCTCGAGAGGAATTCTAGCGAAACCTTGCCGCCTTTGGCCCCCTCACCTTTAAAGGCCCCTTCTAGGGCGGGACCCCCCACCTCTGCTGGCTGGCTCGCCCTTGAGGCTGACGCATCGTTAAGTCTTGAAACCAGCTCACCCTCCAACCCAGCCCCCCCCCCACGTCTGGGGGTTCCTGCGTGATGCCGACCTCACAGACGTCATTTCTTAGGCCTGTTAAGAAACAATGGTTTCTTAATTGACCTCACCTGGAAGGTTCCCGCCGCCGGAAGGCAGAGATTTTAACTTTCTAAGCAGCCGAGCCAGAATGAGCAGAAGCTGGGAACTCAGGGCGTCTCACTGCCGGTTCTTCCAGGAAAGACGCGTTGCACAGACGCAGTGCTCCTGCCTCATGGGACCCTCGGCTCCTGTGTGCCCCCCCCCCACATGCTCCCCGTGAGCGTGGGGTCCCCAGGCCCATGAGGACCCGCAGGCTTGTCCGGATCTGGGCCTTCTGTATTCAGTATGGGGGCTGCGAACATGGAGTCCCCTAAGCCAACGAGCCAGCCACATCACCTCCCTCTTCTCTGTCCCCCTCCGCCCTGCGGAGGCCACGTTCTGACGCACTGTGGCTGCTACCGGCCCGTCTCCCACGTGCGTGCCCTTCAGTGCTGTCCGGCTCCCGGGCTGCAGCCGAGGGCCGGGCCGCCTTTGTGCGGAGGCATGGCCTCCTTCCCAGGCGCCTGGGAACCCTGAGGAGAGCCCGGGAGGCCCCTCCCCCCTGGGTGGACGCGGGGCCGGAGACCGGTCTCCCCGCTGTAGCCGGAGGGCCAGGCAGCGCAGCGCAGCGCAGCTGCCTCCCCGGGGAAGACCCCTTGGGGGCGCCAGCCAGGCTGGAGCCCTCAGGCCACTCGCCAGTCATTTAACAGCCATACTTCTTCCACGGCCTAAGTGAAAGGTTTAAAACAATAGAAGCAGCTCTGGCTGGTGAGGCTCAGTGGGCTGGGTGACGTCCCACAAGCCGAAAGGCCGCTGGTTCAATTCCCGGTCAGGGCACATGCCTGGTTCTGGGTCAGGTCCCCAGCTGGGGCGTGTGAGAGGCAACCGATGGATGGTTCCCTCTCACATCGATGTTTAACTTCCCTCTCTTGCTCGCTCCCTTCCCCTCTCCCTAAAAAATTTAAAATCTTGGGGAAAAAAAATCGTGAGGGAAACAGATGCTATAGATGCTATAGACTGGATTTAAAAATAGACGCCAGCCTGGATCGCAGCACCGACGACAGCACAGCAGGAGCGAGTCCCGGGGGCTGACTGCGGCTGCGGTGCTCGGGGAAACACCGAGGGGTGTCGGGGGGCTCTCTGAGCGCCCCAAGGGAAGGGCCTCTCCCCCGGGCCCAACCCTGGAGGCCAAGTCTGCAGACCTGACGGCGTTTTCTACTGCGGCTGAGCAGCTGTGAGCGCAGGGGAGGGAGCGGCCGCAGAGAGCCCGAGAGGCTGGCCGGGCGAGCGTGCGCAGGAGGGGGACCTACCGTCCTTCGGAGGAGACAGGAGAAGCCTCACCCCAGAGGGGCAGCCCGAGCAGGCGTCCTGTGGAAGCAGTGACCAGGGGCCCCAGCCAGCACGCTGCCAGGCGGGGCCCCTCCCTCACCGGGCCCTGCCCGCCGGCAACGCTGTCAGAGAGCGAGCTGCGTCAGGACAGGTTTTGGAAAACTTTTATTGCGTTTGGTCTCCAGGTGGAAGCACTGGCCGACGAACTGAAAGAGGCTTGTTCACTGACTCTCCTGAAAACCCACATGGCTAGATCCACGGTCTCCCCACCCGAGACTGGGTGTAACGGACCTTATCCCCCACCCACCCCAAGCAAGAGCTAAACACGGTTTCTGGCGATTGCTTGAGAAAAAAAACAAAACTAACCCGTGTGGGAGAATGCAGATGGACAGTATTCAGGTTTCGGGGGTTTGCACGTGGCCGGCGCTCTGTCCTCAGCCACCCCACAGTCCTCAGGCAGACAGACTCGCAGCAGGGAGGGCCTCCTGGGGCAAGTGGGGGGCCGGGCGGGGGCGGGGGGTGACTGGCAACGTCGCCTGTGCGTCAGGGCCTGACCCAGGCCCGGGCGGCAGCCCCCCAGGTTGGAACACAGACCGGAGGTGGGCGCGTGCCCGTCCAAGGGTCCAGTGATCAGAAAGTGAACCTGCTTTGGCGACTCACAGAGTGAGGAGGACAGGGTGATGGCGTGCGAGAGAGGAAGCGGATGGACGGAGGGAAATGGAGCTCGCCTGCAATCGCGCAGTTTTTTCCTTCTTTTGATTGTGTAAGGCATTTTGAACCGGAAAGACTTCTTCCCTTCACACTCCTCCAGCTGATCAGAGGGAATGTAACTGGTGACTCGGAATACAGACACGACCCCTTCCACCCCCGCCCCTCACCCACGCACCCGCGTCCATAAAGCACAAGGCAGGCAACCGACTTCAAGGATCAGGAGGCAAACCGCGTCCACGTGGGGGTGGGGGGGGCGAGGCCGCTGCGTCAAGGACCCTCCTACGGCTCCAGCCCTGCCCCTGCCCCCTGGGCCACGCGGGGCAAGCATCCGTCTTCCGCGGGGCTTCAGTCCCACTGGGGCGCCCGCCGCCGCCTCCTGGGCAGGGGGAGGCGGGGCCCTCCTGCGCCTGCATCCGCCACCAGCGTCCACCAGCGTCGCGTCCCGGTTAGTAGGGGGGCGCGGCCCGCGGACAGCGCCCGCCGCGTTAGTCAGGCCAGACAGACAGCAGAGAGGAGCCTGGAGGCCAGAGGAGTGACTTTGAAAAGGAAAACAGAAGAGCAGCGTCGGTTGCCAAAAAACAGAAAGGATGACCTTTTAAAAATAAAACGTGGGGACTTTTTTTTCTCTGCAATGCTCAGCCATTTCACTTGAGACATAAAAACGTCCCAGAGGAGCTGTGTGCGCGTTCCCGGTGCGCGCACGCGCGAGGCCGCGGGCGGCCGGGCTGGGGCGGGTCTGGGCCGGGTCTGGGCCGGGGGGCGGCAGCGCCGGCCGGTCCTTCAGACCACGTACTGGGACGGGTCTGCCTTCCCTTGGTCTGGCGTGGCAAAGGGGCTGGCCCAGCCTAGAGAGAAGGGGTGGCCGAAAACGGCTTTCATGTTCATCCATTTTGTTTTTTTAGCCCATCTTCTCTCTTCCTTTTTCAATTGTTCTATTCCCTGAAAACAAGAACAATCACACTTTCAGTCAAGCGCGTCACTGCTGGGGTCCGGGGGCGGGACGGCCCTTAGCTCGAGGGGAAGGGGGTCAACGCTTCCTTTTTAAGGCTGTAAAGCTAACTGCATGATACGTTTTCCTCCCTTTCCCACATAAAAAGTGTTTGTAAAAAACCATACTTTTGGGTGGGTGGGGGGCAGACGTTTGTAAGTCCCTCCAGGACGGGCCCACAGGAGTCTGAAGTTACTCTGACCACTTTGCAGACAAAAAAAAGCGAGTGACAGGCCAGCCTAGGGGGCAGGAGGCACAGCTCAGAAGGCGGGACAGGAGGGACAGGCCGAGTCAGGGGGAGTCACCAGAGGAGGAAGGAGGCGGTTAGTACAGGTTAGAGGGCCACGCAGACAGACCAGTCAGCCCCAGTCACGGCAGGGTCTCCCCGGCTCCCGTGGGGGGCAGCGAGGCGCGGCCACCTCGCAGCGGTCACACGGCCTGCACTGCCCCAGGGCCGTGGAGCTGGTCAGAGGGCAGGGCCAGAGTTCGTGCCCCTGCCCGGAGGGACAGGAGGGCAGCAGCCTGGCTGGGGCCAGCGGGGCCCTGGGCCCTGGTGAGGCGGGCAGTTGTGGGGCTGAGGGGCCAGCCAGCCTGGCCTGCGTCTCTGTCCTCAGCCTAGGGACCCGGCAAGAACAGAGGTGAGGGGAAGACCCCATTTCCCAGGAGCTGCGGGGCCCGCCCTTCCTTTCCTCTGTCCTCTTTCCAGCAGGATGGATCCCTCCCTCAATCCGCCGAGGGGAAGCACATGGCACATTGTGGGGGGGGGGGGGGGCTGGGCCTGCGCGCTCTCCCCTGCTGCCCCAGAGCCTGCCTGTGTGGCGTGCGGTCCCCTCCCGTTCCCTGCAGTCCTTCCACGGAGAAGCTGGTCGTGTTTACCGCTGGGACACACAGCTGCATCTACGTCCCTGGCTACCACTGCGTCACAGCCTCTTTGGCAACGATGTTATTTCTCATAAAAGTTGCTACGAGCCCCCAGCCTTCTAAGCCGTCGGGAATTCTCACGGGTCCGGACAACGGCACCCTGGCGGCTGGGCAGCGTCACCCACGTGAGCACTGCCGCCCAAGGGGCCAGGGAGCCAGGAGGACTGCCAGGAGGCACCCACGGCCCCAAGGACAAAAAGGGAAGAGATGGCCGCGTCAGAGCCCTGGGCTGACCACCGTGAGGCTCCCGCACACCTCTGGAGGGGGCAGGAGGGGGCAGGAGGGGGCAGGAGGGGGCAGTGGTGTCGGGCTGGTGGCTCCAGCCCAGCAGCTACGAGGCCCCCAGAGGAGGAGACATGAGTAGGTGGAAGGCAGGGCCAGGAAGACGCTACGGACGAGGTCCAGGGCTCGGCCAAGCAGGGGTGACCCTGAGGCCTGGTGAGAGTCTGCTGTCCACTGATGGGGGGAAGAGGCTGGGGGGGTACCTCCCAACGGCGCCCTCAGGACCTGGCTGTGAACTCACCTCCTCTGGGAAGCCGACCCTGCCTGTGCCCGCTGGGTCAGAGCGCCCTTTGCCCACCACCCTGTCTCCAGGCCTGCGGCCCCCGATGGGAGGCGTCCCAGTGCTCAGCAGAGCGCCTGGCTCAGAGCAGTGCCCAGGCGGAGCCACCTCAGGAGGACGGAAGGACCGGTGAGAGAGGGAACCCGTCACCAAGGCTTTGGGGCCCGTCCCTGGTGCGAACCTCTGTGCCAGCCTGGAGGGGCGAGAACTCGTGTGTGCACGAAGCCTGGCGTCCGGGAAAGTGCCCTGCACACAGGGTGTGGCCGAGGGTCCAGGCCCGGCCTGCAAGCAGCCCTCCCAGCAGCCTCTGCCCCGGGGCCGCCCCGCCCCCCGTGCCGCGGCAGGCGGACAGGCCAGCTGCTCACCGTCTCGTCCGTGCAGATGGAGTGCACCTGCGTCCCGAACATCACCGACGTGAAGATGAGGAAGAGCAGCCCCTCGAAGCACAGCAGGATGAGCAGGATCACCGTGGTGGGTGGCGAGAAGTAGCTGCACTCTGGAAGGAGGGGTGCGTGGGGTCAGGGCTGCGGCCGCCGCCTAAGGCCCCCAGGGCTCCCACTCTGCCTCAGGACCCCCGCCCCCAGACTCGGGCCTTCCCGGGGGCCCGTCTGTGGCCTCCGGGCCTCGGCGAGGACCCTGCTGCCCACACCAGCCGCACCAACACTCCTGCAGGGAAGTCCGAGACAGGCCGGGCCCTGCCGTGGCCACCCCTCCCTCACACACCCATCCTCGCTCACTGCCCCTTCCCTGGCCCGCGAGTGACACCTGTGTCCTCGTGCCAAGCGCAGCGTCTGCCCCCGGAAGGACCCAGAAAGAACTCAGGGCCGAGGCACGAGGCCTGGCGACACCACAGGCAGACCCTCGTCTCCTCGGAGAGCTCGCTGCGGGTGGGCCAGGTGGGGGCCCCGTCCAACCCTGGCGCGGCGGGTTTCTGGGCACTGCCCTTCCAGGCGCTGCCCCCTCCGCGCCCCTATCTGCTCAGGGGTGAGGGGAGAGGACGGGTGTGGGGGGTCCCTCGGCAGCTTTGGGACTTGGAACTCACCGGGGCAGGGACTACTGTCCCCGCTGTCTCCCTGACCAAGGTGGGAGCAGAGCTGGCGGGCAGTGGCCCTGAGGAGCACCTGCACCTTGGGGACAGCCAGGGCCCCGGAGCGGAGCAGGCACCGTGCTCCTCCCGACCCCTCTGCAAGCCCACGCTGGCCTGCGCTGTGGCCTGAGGCAAGTCCTGTCCCCTTCCGGGCTCTCCGGCCACCTCCCACCACCTCGGGGCAGAGAGCTGGACGAGAGGTGCACTCTTGTTTTAAGTCGTGGAACCCTCTGTCTGCACAGGAATCGGAGCCCGGCAGGAGAGAGCCCCGGGGGAAGGCAGCCCTCACAGGTGATGGGCCGCACAGACTTGCGCCCTCGCCGAGAGCTGCCCTTGCGGTTCAGGCTCGCGCTGTCCCTGTGCTCAGGGCTCTAGCCTGGCTCCCTGGCCGGGGAGGTGGGGTCCTGGAGGGCAGTGAGGCCTCGCTGGGCTTGGGAATTTGGGGTAAGTGTCCCCTCGGAGCTCCCGCACAGGAGCTCCAGGTGGGGAGCAGCTGGGCCCGGCTCTGGGAGCTCGCGCTGTCCAGGACGCAGGGCGCGGCCCCTCATCTGGATGCCGTCATCTCCCCCCTCCCCCCCAACCCCGGGTTTTCCCTGCTGGGGCCTTGGCGTACAGGGCCTGGGTGGGTGGCCACTGCTGTGGCGGCCATCTGTGTGGCCACGGGGCCGGCAGGCCAGTGTGAGTCCCAGCACCAGCCGCCGCTGGGTCTGGCTGCAGTGCCCCCACTCCCGCTGCATTCCGGCCCACCTCCGTCCTGCCCTGTGCGCTGGGGAAACCACCCCTGCCAGCTCCGTTCCAGGGCAGGGACGCTCTGCCCGGTGACACTGACCCAACGGCAGGTGGGCGCTGTCTGTGGTGACCCAGCGGCCTCGTTGGACCCCACCCCCAGGCCGCCAAGGCCACGTAGGAGGTGAACTGGAGCCCCCAGGGCCGAGCAGAACCCGTGTGCTCGGAGAACGCTCACCCAGGACCTCGCTGGTGGCCCCCGCCCCCACGATGCAGGACGCACCACCTGCACAGAGCCCCCCGCCCATGATCAGACCTCCTGCTCTCCGGCCGGTGCTAGAGCCGCGCCAGTCTCCACAGTGCGGGGCACGGGCTGCGGCCCAACTGTCCCCTCCGAGAGGTAGTCCCGGCAAGACCACGCCCAGGAAGCCAGCGTGTGCGCAAGAGCAAAACTCCCCCAGGCGGCGAAGGGGAGCAGGGGGCCCGTGGAGGGAAAGCGGCAGAACTGGGCGTTCCTGCTGCGGACGGCGGCTCCCAGGTGAGGTGGGTGTGCAGGGTCTAGCTCAGCGGGTGGCCTTTCTGGAGTCTGAGTATCTTTAATTTTTTTTTCTTCTTAGTTTTATTCATCTTCCCAATTTCACGTATTTATTTTGTTTAGCACCTGTATTTCCCCTCAGAATTTATGTCATTTTCTGGTTGCAGTCCCTTCCCCACGTACACATTTACGTGGGACGCTTCTAAAGCAGGAAGAATTTCTCTGCAATCCCAATGTAAACTCGTGACCAGGCAGTTAAAAATCAACCACCACAAAACACAAACAAATTCACAAAAAGCCTCCACATGCTGGCCAGAAAGCTAAAAATGAATCTCTGCAAGAGGGGAACAAGTAGCCTTTGCGTCAAGTGCTTTGTGGAGGACTGGAACTGGAACAAACGTTCCCCTCTCCGGGCAGGGCCCCGCCCTGCCTCCGGGTGCGCTCTCCCGGGACCGGGACCGGTGGGCGGGCGGCTCCGGCCGGGCGTCTGGGCGGGGCACAGCCCGCTACTGTACCTGCGGGGCTGACTGTAAGGGGCTGCTCTTTTTCAAGGAGGGAGAGTTGGGCGTCTGCTGCTGCTTCCCTGGCCAGTCCGTAGGCTTGCAAGAGATCTAATGAAGCGAAGGGGCCCTGGCGCCAGGCTGCAGCCGCGCAGCCGCCCAGCCCGCGTCACCCCCGCCGGGGCCGTCACCCGCCCTGGCCGGAGGGAGGCCCGGCGCAGGCGCATACTCACTCGTCCAGTCTTCTTCGAAGCAGCGCAGGAAGTGGAGTCCCACCATGACGAGCGCGTGCAGGGAGATGAGCGCGATGTACATCTGCAGCGGGAGCGGAGCGTCTGGTCAGGGCGGGCGAGGGTCGGCCGGCCCCCACGGGGCTGCGGAGGCCTCTGGCGGTCCTCCCACTGCCCCCCACCCCGCCCACGGAGGACAAGGGCCCATCACCAGGTGTGACCTGTGCGCCAGGGGGCGGGGCTGCCCGGTGGCGCTGCGGGCTGGCTGCGTCTCCCTCCCGGCGGAGGAGTCCGGGCTCAGGGTGCTGACCCCAGCGGCCCCTCCAGCCCACACGCCGAACAGGGCCCGCCGTCCTCAGCAGGACGGCCTGGTTCAGCGGCTCAGGCTGCTTGCGCGCTGTGCTGGGGGCCCAGGACACGGCCCTCGCTTCCAGCTAACCGACTTGAGCCGACTCTAGCTGCCCGAGCTCAGGGCTTCCGAACAGGCAGGCCCTCGCCGAGCAAGGAGCGCCGGCTGGAGGGTGGAGGGGAGGCCAGCGCTCCGCAGGTTCCCGGGGGTGCGGCAGAGCTCCCAGGCGGGACTTACTGTAAACAGGACGAAGTACTTCTGGTTGTTCTCGCCCACGCAGTTGTTGACCCAGGGACAGTGGTGGTCCATCTTCCGAATGCACCGCTTGCAAACACTGCAACAGCGCACAAGGCAGTCCGTCAGGGGGGCCCGGCGGTGGCGGGAGGGCCTCGGGGAGCGCAGAGCCGCGCCAGGCAGAGCCCCCTGCTGCGGCTGCACTGCAAGGGGCCGGACGGAGGCCAGGACCCCCAGGGTCACGGTCGCCCACCAAGGGCTCTTGTTGGACAGACACGTGGGGCGGGACTGACGTGGCTGCTCCCCTGACGGGACACGGAGCTGAGAAGGCATGTGCTTTACTGGGAGGGCAGAGTGGAGGGCAGTTTCGACCTTGACGGGATGAGAGGGGCCAGGGAAAACGGCTGCTCCCCATCCCCCAGAGAGACCAAACGCCCCGCAGGCGGGGCCCTCTGGGCCGGGGGGGCGGGGAGCTCCCCAGCAGAAGCGTCCAGGGAGGGCGCGGCTGCGGGAGGAGGAGGCCCGCTTGGGAGAGCAGAGCTGGGTCCCTGGCCAGGCCGACAGCCTCAGGGCGGAGGGAAGCCGGCCTGCAGGAACCTTCCAGCTCTAAGATGATGTCCAAATTAGCGACCCCCACCCCCGCAAAAAAAAAAAAAAAGCACAAAAGTCATCTGAGCTTAAGTGTCGACCGTCTGATAAATGGTAAATTTACAAACTACTAACCTGCTGTGGGGACCCTTGGGGGTTTCAGGCCGACTTGACAGCCAGCACCCGGCCACGCCCCCTCTGGGGGTGCAGAAGCCAGAACACGGGCCGGAGCGCAGGCTCGCGGGCCTGACAGCAGCCGCGCCCACAGCTCCCGAGAGGAAGGCGCGCCGGCCCACAGACAGGCCACCCACACCGTGCGCTTTCCAGTTCACTAGAGTAGGTTCCTGAGCATTTATCTTGGGGGCCTTTCTTGTTCAAAACAGCTGGAAATACTACAAATATAAGCTTGGAAATAACACAACTAGATTTCTTTTCCGAAAGTCCCTCGGTTCACGCCAGCTTTTCTCCCCGCTCACTGTATCTCAGACCCTGACCATACGCGGCCTGGCGGTGGGCGGCCCTGCAGGAAGGGGTGGCCTCGGGCCCTGCTGGTGCGGGCAGACAGGGTGGGGAAGGCGCGGGAGGGGTCCTGCGGGTGAGGGGTGGGCTGTTCCCCGGACCCCTGGCCAAGAGCTTGGGCCACTCGGAGGGGGGCCTCACTGTGGGGCCGCTGTGACCTGTGACACGCCGCTGCAGGGCTCACCCCCACCCCCGGGAGGGTGGCCTTTTCTGAGCACAGCGTCAGCTTTGGTGGCCATGGGGACGGGGTCGGGGGAGCCACCCTGGGCGGACAGGCTGATCCCGACCGAGCCTCCGGCCGCCCGCCCAGGGAACTAAGTGCGGGCACGAAGCAGCAGCGAGCACTGACGTGGGGTGACATGACGTGGCGTGACGTGGCCTGGTGCAGACGAGCACTGGGTCATTCTGTCTCCACCCTCCTCTTCTCTGTGACCTCACAGGGTCACACCTCAGGGGTGCCGGCCCCCCTACAGAATCCCCCCGGGGCCAGGAGCGTGCAGGGGATGTGGACAAAGTAAAGAGACAGTTGGGAGCCAGCAACCCTGTGGCCCGTGCTCGCGCCCTCTCTCCCTCCCCCGCCCCCTCTCTGTGCTGCTAATTCACAGCAGTACACACGGGGTGGGGAGGAGGAGGGTGGTGGTGGTGAGCACACAAGAGTTCACTGTGTCACTCCTTACTAATTGCTGTGTTATCTATTCGGTTGGTGACACACAGGCAGTGAGAGCGATCTCCCTGCGCCCCTCCCCGGAGCCCTCCCTCGGAGCCCATTTCTTGCAGGTCCTTCCAGGACATCGCCCTGGGGGTTCCTAGCCCCCACCGTGTACCGTGTGGGGGACAAACTGCTGAGGGGAACCACCCCCGCCCAGCTCGAGGCTCCTGAGCACTTTCTCTTCCGTCGCACTCACTTCTAAGAGGTTTCAAGTGGGTGCTCCGGGCCCTGTTTGCTCCGTGGCGGAGGGGCGAGCACTGGCCGGACATCCGCTGAGCGCTGACCCGCACCCTCTCGGAACACCCCTGCCCTGTTCTCCCGGCCTCTCTGGGGGGACCAGGCGTGCCCCCGGGAAGCTGGCCCTCACAAGAGCCTACGTCTCACCAGCCAAATCAGAGAACTACTCATCCTTCATCCAACAGGAAAAGGGAGTCCAACCCACCGTCAGCTGCAGAACTTGTCCAGAGAGCTGGTCTGTGTCTGCCGTGTGCAAAGACATGAAATGCCAAGGCAGCGCCCCCCCCGCCAGGTGGTGGCACATGCGTGTGTGAGTGGATGGGTGTCCATCCACGCTGGTGGCCGGAGGCACCACGCAGAGGCCGGCTCCCCCAGGGCTCCCAGAACATCCAGCCTGCGGGGCTCTGGGGCGGGGCCTGCCGGGGGGTCCTTGAGCAGGTCAGTGAAGGACACCCCAGGCCCAGGGCAGTGACAGCCCACGTCCTGCCAGGCTGTTCCACTGTAAGCACCATCTGTCACGAGGGGGATGAAGAATGTGGGCCTCCCACCACCCCTGACATCCCACTGGGGAATCGGCCACCTCAGTGTCAGCCGTTGTCCAGCCCCCATTGCCCGGTGCGTGGGGGCTCAGTGGGGCCCCCTCCCTGGGCACAGAAGGGCAGCCCTAGCACAGCGGGCTCCCTGAGGGCCCCTCCCGGACTCTGGCCACTTCCATCAGCCCTCTCCGGGCACCGCCCGCAGGCACCACGTCCGAGTCCCCGTGCCAGGGCGGTGCCCCCAGGGCCCGGCAGCAGGTCCCAGGCAGGCAGGGATGGTCACCGGAAAGACCGTGCCACTAAGGTGGATAACGTCCCAGGCCCCCTCCAGGTGTGGAAACCACTGTTTTAGGGGAGGGAGGATCCTTCTCCCGGCTGCTGCTTCCAGGCTCCTCCTGCCTCTCGTTTCCTCCGAAAGCTCGGGAGGGCCCGAGAAGCTCGCCAGCTCACGCGCCTTCGGGTTCTTTTACGCTCGTGTTCCCTCTCCGGGGGGTGCCAGGACCCTCCTCAGTATGGAGGCCCCCTTGCCTTCCCTGGGTGACAGCCCACCGTGGAGACACAGCCGTGTCCCTCCCTGCGGCGGCTCCCACTCAGCGGCACCACAGAGGATGAGTGCGACCCCCCCCCCCCGCCTGGGCGGAGGCCCCGGGGTCAGGGCCGTGTCCGTCCAGCGCCACAGCCCACGGCCAGGCCGGGGCCCTGCTGAGCAAGGGCCAAGCGGGTGAGGGCTCTGACTCGCGGACAGGGAAGGGCAGACCCGGCAGCGGGCTGCACCGCGCCAGGCCGTGTGGCCCCGGGAGGGAACGCGAGAAGGACACAGCGAGAGGTCCCACATGGTGCCAGGTGGCGTTTCCACGTCGCAGCACACTCACTATGGCTGAAATGACACGCAGCCCTGACCTGGGTGACGCCGTGGGTTGAGCATCATCCTGCAAAGCGAGGGTCACCAGTTCGGTTCCCAGTCGGGGCACATGCCTGGGTTGCGGGCTGGGTCCCCAGATGGGGACATTCGAGGGGCAACTGATGGATGATTCTCCCCTTCCTTTCCTCCCTCCCTTCCCCCTCTGAAAACTAAAAAAATATTAAAAAATAAAAATATAAGCAAAGGAGGCATCCACCACGTCCTGGCAGCCACTCAGAAACAGATCCGGGTGAGGTGGCGGGGAGCACGCCTTGCTCTCAGGACCCGCGGCTCCCCAAGCCGGCCCCCCCCAGAGCCAGCCCGAGTCTCCCGGGGCTGCATGCGGTGCGTGAGCACAGTGCTTCTGAACCACCACCACAGCCACGTGAACTCTACCAGCGGCCGTCCCGCGAGAGACACACAAGAACCCGGAGGACGCACTGGGCAGGCCACGGCGTCCCGGCCTCACCGTGAGCTTGGCGGGGGAGGGGTGTGAGGCTTGGCCAAAGCCAGAGGTCCCCCCTACTTGTGCAAGAACCTAACGCACAGCCCTGGCACGAGGGCCGTCCCTGTGACCACGGACGGCTCCCTCCTCGGTCCTCGACACCAGGAAAAAGCACCTGCCTGGGGTCCCAGGTGCCTCTCCTCGGTGGGAAAACCCACAGGCACACCGCCAGGCTGGAAGGACGCCTCCAGCCCCACGTCCGGGGAGTGCTGGTGGGGGCCACCAGAGCTCAGAGGGTGGAGAGAGCTGTGAATCCCATGGACTCTCCCGAGGGGCAAGGAACCAGAGAGCTGGGCGCAAGCACCTCACCTGAGCAGGCGAGGCCGACGCCAGCCTCCTCTAGCCGGGCAGCGGGGCTCCCGGCCCTGCAGCCGTGCTGGGGGTTCTGCATGAGCACGACTGTGGGTGCCCGGACAACTGTGGGTGCCCAGACAGCAGGGCCACCACGAGCCACCACCCAGGAGCAGTCGTCAGCACGTGTTTCCTGGGTCAGGGATCCCCCCTCGGGGTCGTGGGAGCCAGCAGCTCTGGTCTGCCCAGGGCCGACTGGCTGACCAGCACCCGAGAAAGAATACTGCCCTCGGCCCGTCCTGGGCAGAGATGCAGGAGGAGGCAGGGGCGCCAGGCAGCAGAGGCAGAGGGGGCTCAGGGAAGGGGGAGGAAGTCACTTCGCCCCTTGAGCCCCAAGTCCTCACTCAGGGCGTCATTCCTAGAGCCAAGCTGGCTCCGAGAGCGACTGTGGGGACGGAAGTCAGGTGACCGAGGAGGACAGGGTGGGCGGGGGTGCCCGGACACGGCAGGTGCCCGGGAGCTGGCCGGGAAACAGCGCTGCTGCAGGCCGAGCGCTCTCTCCCGAGACAGAAATGCCCCCCCAACACCCACCGGCCCGAGAAAGGGACCGAGTGATGTGTCTGTAGCACTGTAACAAAAACGTGCAATTTTAGCTGGATGTCCTCAGAGAAACCTGAAAGCCGAACGGGAAAAACCACCATTGATAAGATGCGGAAATGGCTTTTGGGGCTGAATTCTACCGTGTCACAACTTCTTGTGGTTTTGTTTCAAAGGAAAGCCTTTGATTGAGGATGAGCCCCTGGTTTCCCTGTGAGAGTCAAGGGAACAGCCCCACCCTGAGGTGGGTCATGCACTAGACATTCGGGGAGGACCTTGTAAAGCCTTTCTCATCTGCCCTCCCCCGAGGCCCGGCGGTTAGGTGGGAGGGCGGGGGTCTCCTCCTGGGTTTCACAGACCAGGAAACGCGGCTGGGAGGCAAGGGCCTGCCCGGGCCTGCGCCTTCAGACGGGGGTCCTGAGCCCGGGACGAAAGCCCTTTCCAGTCTGGTGAACTCACGGGGGTCGCTCGGTGCCCAGAGGGGGTGCGGCCGGCGGCACCCGAGGGGGAGCGAGCGTGTGCACGTGCGTGTGCGTGCGGGTGGGCCCGGGGCGTGCGTACCTGCAGTGGTGCGCTCGGTCGGGCTTGATGCTGCAGCACTTGGGGCACTTGTACACCACCTGGCCCGGCTTCAGCTGCAAACTCTCGATGAACTCTTTAGTGGCGTTTCCTTTGGGCACGGCCCCCTGCGCGGAAGAGGACAGGCGTGAGTCTGGGCCGGGCTGGGCCGGGGGCCCGTCAGCTCTGACACTCCACCGTGGACACGGTCATTTCAAAGCAGCAGCTACACGCACAGGGACACGACACGCTCACCCCGACACGGGGACTCGGGGTTCCGAGTTACGCCAACACCCGTGAATGTTTACCGACAACCTCCCCGAGGAACCGCCAGCGAGGGGACCCCTGGGCGGCCATCATATTATCCTGTGTACCCTTTACACCGTCTGCAGGGTTTCAGTGAGAATCTTTCTAGAAGTTCAAAAATGAAATTAAAAACAAACAAACAAACAAACCCCCTGCAAAACGCAGCCGGGAGCCGGGACAGGCTACGACGGGAACCACTCTGCGGGAGGCAGGCACCGTGCAGCATGCACACGCTGCCAGGACACGGCTCGACACGGAACGCGCCGTGGGAGCCCACAGCTACCGACCACGGCAGGAAGCGCCCACGGCAGACGGTCGGAGGGAGAAGCAGACTTCCAGGCGGCACGTGGAATGGGAGCTCACGTGGGTACGGGCTTTCTAGACGTAAGTAAGAGGACAAAGCCACACGCGAAAGTCTTAACGGTGACCCCACCCCCGCAGTAGAATCACAGGGGCAGCTTATTTTCTTGATGCCATTTCATAAATGTTCTATGATGAACATGTGGCTTTTGCAATTAAAAAGCCATTAAATATGCAAATAAAAAATATCTGGACCTCAGGAAGGAGCCACCCGCCAAGTAGGAACATGGCCAACTTTCCCGGAGCGTGCGACCGAACGCTGAGACAGCTGAGGGGCCCCTCTGGGGGCAGCCGTCAAGGGTGGGGGCCCAGACCTGCCACCGCAGGCGCAGACTCTCGCTGGGGCTGGCGCAGGGCACGGCCCAGGCGGAGGAGAGGGCCCTACAGAGGCCCAGAGGGCCAAAGATAAACTAACAAATAAAAGACCCAAAACACTAAGCTTTCACCTGAAGCCAATACAAAATAAAATTGAAAGTAAAACAAAATTCTGAAACTTTCTGTGAACAGATAATCTACTAAGTACACGGAATGGAGACGTACGTGGAACTCCCTGTTAGAGGACTGAGCGTAATTAAAGAGAGGACAAGAGGAGAGATTTAAAAGCCCAGAGGGCCTTACTTTCAGTTCTCTTGGACGTAATAAGTAACTGAGTTTAGCCCTGGCCAGGTGGCTCGGTTGCAACATTGTCCGGCACACCACACCGGAACACTGCGGGTTCAAACCCTGGTCGGGGCACCTACGCGGGGGCGGGGGGGGGGAACCCTCCCACGGATGTCTCTCTCTCTCTCTCTAATCAATAAACATATCCTGGTGTGAAGATTAAAAAATTAAAATAAAAATTTTTAAAAAAGTAATTGAGTTTAGGCAACTGTGTGAACTTTTATGGGCCTCGAAGCCACAAGACCGTAACTGGAAGTCGCCACCATCCCCCACACACAGGGACAGCATCGCTGCCCCAGGGAGACGACGCAGTCAGTGGGCTGAGTTTCCCTGCGTGAAGGCCCGGGTTGGGCTCCCTGCCCCGGCCCGGCCCGCCCCGCCCCGCACATGCTGTTTTTACGGTCCCGGGGCCACAACGGGGTGGTGGGGGGGGCCCATAAAGGGCTCGGAGAGCGGCCCCCGCACTGCAGAGGACGACGGGGCGCTCGCTCACAGTGGACAGCTCTGTCATCCTGAAGGCCGGCCCCCCAGGTGACTCCATCTGCACAAACCTCCCGGAGGGCTCATTCCCCACGACCAATCTGTGACCCGTCTGTGACCCGTCTCTCGGAGGAGCCGGGGAGTGGTGGGCCAGCCCCCGGCACTGAGGAGTGTGTGACACGCATACCTTCCCTTTCCCTCGCTGCCTCAGGTGTCTTCTCTCCTCCTCCTCCTCCCCCACCTCCTCCCCCCCTCCCCCTCCAGCATCGGAAGTGATTGGGGAACACGGAAGGAACGCTCCTGAGATGGCATTACCCAACCCAGGGCGGGCGAGGAGCGGCACCTGGCAGCAAACCCCAGACTCGAGCTGCTGCCCCAGCTCCGGCCCCTCCGGGCCAGCCCCCCTCCCCTCTGTCCATCTGTCCCCTCTCTTCGCAGGCCTACCCCTCCCACCCCACTTCTCAAAGGGCAGCTTCACGGTCAGGGGGCTGCCGAGCCATCTGTGAGTCATTTCCCGCTTCCCTTTTCTGCGCAGGCTCTGCGGAGACCCACTTACTAAACGGCGGCTGAATGGTCCGGAGAGTACCGAGGCTGCAACTGTTTGGACGCTATAATTGGAATGAGAACTTCAAAGCTGGAGGTGGCACAACTATTTGGGGAAGACTATAAGAATACTTTTTTATTTTTCACTAGTAGTACTAACAAACCAGTAGGATACACCATGTATGTACATGGTCATACCTTATTTATGACCTCAGGATGTAACTTTTTCTGAAAGTTACAGGCTACGAGATACAGAACATTACACTCCTATTAGGGAACTTGGAACCCTGCAGAGCGCCTTCCTAAAAACTACCCCCACCGCCCCCACCGAGTTAATGAGGAACCCCTGATTGATCTGCTTTCTGTGTGCGATCTGGTGCCCAGCTCTGCACCTGCAAAGCCCAGGGGCCCCAGGGGCTCCCGAGCTGCAGCCCCACCTCTGTTTACACACCGGGTTTTGCATAAGGTGTCGCCTGCTGGGATGGGGCGGCAGGTGGGGGTGGAGCAGCCCAGAGGAGCCTGGGCCCGGGCTGTCTGGTGGACACGCTCTGACCGGCTCCCTTTACACGGTCAGTATCTAACCTAACAGACGCTCCACGTTTCTGCCCAGTTTTCTTCGGGACCACCGGCGAGTCACAGCCTGAGAAGCCGGCTGGGGTCTGGGGCACAGACTGTGGCTCTCACTCACTTGGGACCGGAGCCGAGCACCACCTCCGTAGGTAGCGAGGACCCCTGTCTCCAGCCGCCAGGGACCGGCCTGTGGAGGCCCCCAGAGACAGTGAGGGCAGCAGGGATGCCGGCAGGAAGCCTGCCCTGCTCGCTCCCCACCTGACACCGGTCAATAAATGGCCCCAGCAATCAGCGCCTGCCCCACCCCCCCACCTCTTTGATCCCTTTCCATTCAGTCAGCTCTTCTGAATGGCGGTTCTCAGACCTGGCTGAAACCGGGGGGCTCCTGGGAGCTTTCAAGAGTCCCGATACCCAGGCCCCCGCCCCAGACCAATTAGAGCAGACTCTCTGCATGCCGGGCCCAGGCATCTAAGCTTTCTAAAAGCTCCCCAGGGGATTCTAATACACAGCCCTGTGTGAGAATTAGTGGCGTACAATGTACTCTAAAGCCAACAGCTTCCCTCCAGCCTCTCCACCCCCACCTCGGCCTGAGCCTGTGTCTTGCATGGACCACCAGGATACCTCTAGTCTTCCTGCTCTCGCTCGCCCCGCCCAAACCCCACCCCCAGCACGAAGGAAGCCTGGCTGCACCACGCCTGCCTGATGGCTCCCGCCGCACTCGGAAAACAGACCGGAGTCCTCGGGGGCCCTGCGGCCCGGCTTCTGCAGCCCTCCCAGCTGGCCCCGCGCCCCAGTCCCACTCGGCGTGCTGCAGGCACCCTGGGCTGAGTCCCGCTTCTCCCACCGGCTCCCACCCCCAGGTGCCTGGCCTGCAACCTCAGGTCACTCAGGTCCCAGCTCAAAGGCCACCGCCTTGGAGAGGCGTTCAAAACACCTGTACCCCATAAGGGTCACCATATCACCCCGACAGCGCTCGCTGTCTCGATGGCGCTGCCCGGCCCCGGGCGAGGTGGGAGCTGCAGGGGGCCCGGGTTTGGGTCTGGCCTGTTCCCGGCTGTGTCCACTGTTCAGAGGGGAACCGCGCACGCGGCGAGCCGCTCGCTCAGTAAACGTGCCCTTCGGGGCCTGGGCTCCTCCTCACTGCGGCCAGGCTGGTGTGGTCCTTATGAAATGACAGTTGGCTCTCGTCACACTTTTGTTTAACACCCTCAGGGGGCTCCAGGCTGCCCCTCGTCACCCTAGATGCTCCGCCCACTCAGCCCACCCACACCCACTCTCCTCCCAAGTCCCCACCATTCCACACAGCACAGGGGACCCCAGAGGGGCTGCACCCGTGAACTCCGGAGTCTTTGCGCGTGCTGCCCCTCTGCCGGGGACGCTGTGTCCTCCTGCCTCGATCGGTTACCAGCCCCTCCCGTGTTCTTCCCAGCAGCCCGTGCTTCCTTCGGCCACAGACTTTATTGCCTGGGGGGCTGGCTCCTCTAGACAGGGGGCACCTGGAAAGCAGGAACAGCGCCCGGGGCCTAACAGAACTAGACGATATGGTGAGCAGAACACTGCCTTCTAGCTCAGTATCCCCAATGGCAAGGGCATCATAGAAACTCCTAAAGAAAGCCTTAACTTGCTACCCGCACGACCAAGTGGACGCTGCTGGGCCACCCCTTTCCTACCCTCGGGCTTGGGGACAGGTCCGGCCCTGACCAGGCTCTCGCTCCACGTCCTTCAGGTGCCCGTTGCGCGGGGACGCCACAGGTGGCACTCACTCGGGGCCCTGGGGCCCCTGCCTCCGGGAGCGCGCCTGCGCGAGAGGTGCTGTCTGGCTGGGTGGCTGAGCTGTAGCTGAGCCGGGAAAGCCGCTTTCCCTTGGGACGGATCAACAACCCAACGCCTGAACCAGCAGACACGGAGCCCTTCGAGACGGGAACCGGCTCTTCACCGAGCTCCCCGTGGGGCCCACGGACTGGAAATCTGGGTGACCGCTGCCACCGTCCCTCGGAGTGCTTCCCTGTCTTAATTAAGGCACACTCGTCCCAAGGACTGCAGACAACGCAGGCATAGGAGGTCTTTATCCAATAACACGCTCCCTTGCTTTCCCCGCACACGATAATGGGCAGGAACAGAGGGTTCAACGCCAGGGCACTCGACATGCAGTAGCCACTCGCACAGCGCGGTGTGTTTGGCTAAGTCACCGGGCGGAACACCACCGCTCTGCCCGCTGATCTTCACCGGGAGGCGCTCGCTGCGGCCCGAATCAGGCCCGTCCTGCTTTTCAGGGAAGGTCGGCATCGCCCGGAGGGGAGGCGCTGCGGTGCACAGTCCCAGAACGGGATCCGGCTTTATCCGAATTCACCCGCTCCCGGCCCGTCTTCGCCGCGAAGCCCCGCCCCCTGACCCAACCCCCAGCGCTCCTTCCGCTCCGCCTCCGCCTCCGCCCCCCCCCCACCCCAGGCCTCGCAGTGAGCTGACCGCACCTTTCTAACTGGAGGCCAGGCCTCCCCGGGACCAAAGCCTCCCTCCCCAGCAGGCCCCATTTCATGCACACGCCAACCTATCGTTCCCCAGGACAGACCGGCGGTGGTGCCAGTCCCACCCCAGCCCTGGCCTCCTGCTCTCCGCATTCCCGAGGACAGGGGGACATGCAGGCGGGGGCCGTGCCTGGGCTGGAGGAGGAGAGTGTGGGCCGGTGAAAACAAGCCCAGACATACTCACGGGGTCCGTCAGCATGGCCCGGCAGTGGGACGCCAGGGCCAGGAAGGCCAGCAGGTTGAACAGAATCCCGTTGATGATGCTGTACACGTAGTCTCGGGACGGGATCAGCATGACGAAGAGGACCACGAACTCCGCATAGAGGACCAGAAACCAGGTGACGATGGCACAGGCGATGCCGCAGCCGTCGCGGATGAACCACATGGTTCCCGCAGGGCCAGGGTAGGGGGGCGGGACACACTTCTCCGGCTGGAGGTACACTGGCTTCCGCTCAATGTCTCGGAAGTGGTGGGTCGGGATGAGCATCGTAAGCTATTCTGTCCATGCTGGCATCTGCAAGACAGGAGACCCAGAGACCTGGTGTTGTCATCAGGCAGGGATGACAGAGTGACCTTTCCAAAGTGAGCCTCCTGCAGAAACACTGCCTAGACCTCTGTTCATTTAAAGTGGGAGTCCCCTCCCCCAGCGCTGACTCAGACTTTGTGAAATGGGGCCGCCTTGCCCCAGGGGGGTGGGTCACGTGACAGACAACAAAGGTCGGCTTCCAAGGGCAGAGGCCTTGCCCAGGGCCGGCCAAAGGCAGCAGCAGCAGCACACACGCCCACTTAGAGGGGACCGGAACCAGGTCTCCTTGTCCACTAGGGATCCACGGCGGACAGTGTCTCAGTGGGTGTGTTCACAGCGGGACCTAAAAGGCGAGCGGCAGGAGGTGCACCAGGCCCCTTGGAAAACTGTCCTCGGCAGTGACACCACTGCCTGCACAGCACGGACGAGCCCGGAGACTGGTGTCAAGGCTCTGCGGGGCTCAGGGCATGAGGCGGAGGGCAGTGGACAGCCAGGGCTCGCTTTCAGCTGCGGCCATTAAGACATGCTGCCTTACAGCGCCGCACCAGCCCGTGATAAAGGCAGAACACCACCAGGAGGGGACAGCCTTGAAACGAGCTGGGCTTGTTAGCCCCGTGGCCACAACGGCTTCTCTTTCAGGGCTCAGAGGCTGCGTTCTGCCAGGTGGTCGGGGGGCCCAGTGCGGGAACGCTGAAGGGCCAGCCCAAAGATGTTCCCCCACCACTGGCCTGTGTCTCCCCTGGCTGCGAGAACCACCCATCCAGCCCCCCTGCCGTCTTCGAGGGGCTGGCATGTGGGGGTCAGAGGTGCTTGGGACGCACGCTGCAGGCTGGAGGGCCCCGTGCACAGCACCCACTGTGCGCACACACTCTCCAGGGAAGACCCCTTCCTGCAGGAACAAGTGCCAGCGATGCACCCTTGTCTCCGAGCACGGCAGCTCAGGTCTCTGCAGACGGCAATGACGCGACTACGGGCCAGTCACCACTGTCCACCCGTCCCCGGCACGCTCTGCGAGACACGTGCGCGCCGACTTCCCTCCTGTTTCTCCATCTCAAACTCCACGGCCTGTTGGGTCACTGACCAGGTTTCTCAGTCAGAAACCACGATGGCTCCGGGTCCCTTCCAGAGGGAGGCGCCCTGGGAGAGCCACCTGTAGTACAGTCTGCGGCACAGCAAGTGACACCTCAGGCTTCTGAAAACTCGAGTCACCTCGCAGCCACTGTAAAGCAGCGCTGGCTACGTGCGTTCTTCTGCACCAAGGGTGAGCTTTCTGTGCTTGCAGTGGGCTGTCTTCACCTTCTGCTCAACCTTCCTTTTCCCTCCACTGCCCTCAACGGAGAGAGAGTGCCCTGACCGCTGTGGCTCAGTGGGATGGACGTTATTCTGTAAACCAAAAGGTCGCCGGTTCAATTCCTGGTCAGGGCACAAGTCTGGGTTGTGGGCCAGGTCCCCCCCCCCCATCAGGGGCATGAGAAAGGCAACCGATAGTTTCACTTCCACATTGATGGTTTCTCTCTTTCTCTCTCCCTTCCCCTCTCTCTCAAAATAAATACATAAAATCTTAAAAAAATCCAAAAAACTAAAGAGAGAGCATTTTGATCGGCTACAGTACAGTCAGGAAAAAGCAGGGTGTGTAGAATGACAGACAAGCTGGAGTCAGGAGCGGCACACACGGATCATCGAAGAGTGAGGCCCGGCCCTTCTCCCGGGGGTTGGGGGGGGCGCAGAGTGAGTGGTTCAAAGGTGCACAGGCACCGTGTCCGAAGGAAAGACACGCCGACTCGACAAATACTCTGGTGAGCGACTAACTCTCGCTGCGCGCCCGGTGTGGGGAGCGGGGGACGGGAAGGCGTGGCCGTGCAGAGTGACCAGCCCACGCAGAGCAAAAGCGGCCGCTCCCCGTGCCCACCGACCAGAGCTTCCTCATAAAGCAAACTCTGACCCCACAGGGCAGCGGCCAACTGCGTCGCCAGGGGCAACCCGGAGGCACTGAAGGGTGCAGGGACACCTTCCGAAGCAGCAGACGGACAGCACATCGCAGACCAGGGACGTCTGGACCTTGACCCACGCCCAGTAAACTCTAAGACTCTAAACTCCGTGCAAGCAACACCAAACACAGGGAAGGCGGGCTGCGGGAAAGCCCAGTGATCCGAAAGCTGACCACACACACAGCCCCATGTTTCGACCCCTCCTGAGGCGACCCTTCTCGGGTGGTCCCGCTGCCACGCGCACCTGCGTGCACATCGCCCCTGTCCTCGCAGTCACCGCGTCAGCCTGAAATCAACCCAGTTCTGCTGGACTGCAGCCGCGCCAGTCACTCACGGGGTGGCTCTGTCTGCTGCCGCACGTCAGTGGCAGCGTCAAGAAGTTCCGACGGAGCCCTGAGGCCAGCCGGCCCACAGCATTGTGCTCCCGGGCACCCTGCAGGAGTCTGCCGGCCCGGGGCGGAGGCCGCTGGCACCTACCAAACGCAGGGAGGGGCATGAGCAGACTCACAGCTGCTCGTGTGGAGAATAACACAACAACTAGCTACAGGAGAACACGAGAACACTCTCTGTTTCAGGCACTTGCAACTGTAAGCCTACCGGCACCCCACCCTGCAAATGACGGAGGTCCATCCGCCCCGACCCCTGCTTCCCCCCGCAGGACAGCGCAGCATGACGGGGACGGTCGGTGCCCACCCACACCAGCCCGCCTGGCCCGCCCCGGTGGCAGCACAACCACCTGCCACTGCAGCCCGAGCGTCACCTCCCCCTGACCCGTGTACTCCGTGGACCCGCCCTCAGTGACGACGGATGGCTCGGTTTTCGGAGGTGGGGGCTCGCGGAACGCGCAGTCCAGGGCGACACTGGAGTTCAGGTGCGGGTGGTGACTGCACTGTGCCCGCGGTGCGGTCAGGGCAGCTGGCCACTCCTTCTCGGTCCCAGAGAGGATGGCGCTCGACTGCACTGGAGCCACTACACTCCATTCGCGTCCTTCTGCCGGTGAGGAGGCCCCTCTGCGCGAGCGAATCTCCAGGTAACTGGCTGCTTCCTGTCTTAGGTACAACACCCGTCCATTTCCCTGGAAGGACTAAGAGTTGTTACCAGGAACACCAGGTACTGGAGTGAGTTACCCAACGATGTCCTCAGGGGTACGGGTTCACCGGCCTCGCCACCTGCCGCCTACTTGCCTGTTCGGACCGCTACACCTGCGGCATCGCCTGCCTCCAGGTCTCCATCTCCTCCCTCCACCCCTGGCTGCCGTCCTTGCCGTGCCCACGGCTGCCCATTCCCCCACGTCCTCTCCGTGGGCTTCGCTAATTGGCTGCGGGCTGTAAAAGCAGGTGGAAGGGAGCCCCGCCGGACCTGTCTGCAAAAGAAGGGGACTCGTTCTAGGCAGCGGGCGGCCGATCGGTTGCTGCTGGCCGGACGCCCCGTCTTCTCCTTAGCCCGGTGCCGGGAACCCGGTCAGCACTCACCGTGTGTGCCCATCGCACGGATACATGAGCTCTGTGAGCCCAGGCCCATGGTGGGGAGGCCGCGCCCGCTCACCCCCAGGGCTGCGGCCACGCTCCGGAAGGCGGAGGTGCCCCAGCAGGACCGTGAGGTCGGTGGACTGTGACCCCCACACAGGAACCCAGACCGCGCCCCCTCGAACAACGTGGGACTGGGAGTGTGCCGGAGCCCTGCTCCCCACGCCGGCGCGCCGGCGCGCGAGAACCTGAGACCCGCGGAGGGCACAGGGGCAGGGGCCGACGCCAGGCGTCGAACAGAGGGACGCCTTCCAGCCCACACTGTCCAGAGTTTCAAAGCAATGGAAGGAGCTTTCCAGTGCGGATTGTTTCTTGAGTTAGCCAAGTGAAAACCTGAGAAATGTTGGGGAAAAGACCCACCTTGAAACAAACTGTGCACATTCCCCTCACGCTGCCCCCGACAACAGAGAAGGCAAACATTCGCCCCTTCTCCTTTCCCGTCCTGAATCAGGACAACGCCGGTCCTCGGGGTTGAGTGCTTCTTTGCCACTGACCCCGCCCCACGGAGTCCTGGCTCAGAACTGGTTGCTCCGGACGCTGGGGCAGAGGCACGAGGCTGGCGGTGCCAGAACCCACAACGCCACTCCTGCCAGCCGGCCGGCCGGCCATCCCCTCGGAGGGGCGGCCTCCTCCAGGTCCCCTCACCGGGCCCCTTCCCCCCACTCCCTGTCCCGTTTCCTCTCCACCACGTGTCTTCAATTCAGCTTGACTCACAAAGGCCTTCACGGAGCAGGAAGGACGCGTGCGGGGGCCACACACAGTGTGTGCGCGCTGCCCGCCCTGCCCAGGCCCTGCCCGCGCTCTCTCCCAGCCCCTCTCCCAGCTCCAGTCCGGTAAGACCAGTCTTGCTTGCTTTTTCCCTACCAACCTGCAAGTCCCATGGGTGCGGCTTGGCGGCCTGATGTCTGGCAGGAGCGCATGCCCAGCCAGTGCTCCCTGAGTGGATGGGTGTGTGCACCCGACAGACGCACCCCACGCTGACCCTCGCACACAGGTTTCTGAGGAGCAGCACAGCAGGGAGGCAAGCGGTCCTCCCAAAACAAATAACCACCCCCCAGCCCGGAAGCGAGATAAACAGCCTCCTGCAGAGCCAGGGCTCCAGAAGGGGCGGGATCCCTGCGGGGCAGGGAGCCAGGTGCCGCGTAGCCAAGGGCAAGGCGGGAGTGGGCCTGGCAGGGAGAGTGGGTGCTGGACGGGCGGGCCTCCGGGAAATATCTGCACAGAGACTGGCCCCATCAACTCCAGACCGGGTGCAGTTCCTTTCCTTGGGCTCAGAGAACACGGACCAGACGATCACTCAAAAATAAGCAAACAGAACAGAAAGACAAAGGCTTGTCCTCACTGGGCCCTACTAGCAGGAACCCCGCAGCTGAAACTCCATTTCCCTAACCCTTAGCGGACGGCCCGAGCGCCAGCCAGCAAGGCGGCAGCAGCCCTCGGAGAGGAGGCTATTGACACAGGCCGGCACCCGCTCCAGCGGAACAGTCACTGTGGCCCTAAATCACTGTGCTGGACCGCTGACGAGGGCCGGCCTGGCACCTCCCGGGCGTGCCCCAGCGTGGGGTTCTTGCCCCAACTAGTGTTCCCTGGTTAACTCAGCCAATGGCCACTCGAAAGGTCCGCCGAGAGAGGGCGGCATCTTCTCTGATATTCCTTCCCTGAGGCTCCCCCGACACTCATCCCGACATTGAGCGCATCAGTGACCTGTGGTTTGCGTCCCGTAGTCTCCAGACTTTCAGAGCTTCCGCCGTGTCCGAGTAACAGACTCACAGGACCGAGCCACAGGCCGGCCACACCACTTCAAAGATGAATAGACGGACCACGCCCTGGAAGCTTCAGAAACAAATCTGATCAAGTAGAAAATTAATTGATTTAGCCCTGGCTGGTGTAGCTCAGTGGATTGAGCGCGGGCTGTGAACCGAAGTGTTGCAGGTTCGATTCCCAGTCAGGGTACACGCCTGGGTTGCAGGCCATGGCCCCCAGCAACCAACCGCACATTGATGTTTCTCTCTCTCTCTTTATATCTCCCTCCCTTCCCTCTCTAAAAATAAATAAATAAAATCTTAAAAAAGGCCTTATTTAAAAGAAAAAGAAAATTAATTGATTTGGGCTATAGTTATCTTAAGTTAATTTGTACAAGAATCACAGGACTATACGTTTTATACCCATTTTAGAGGATTCTCAGAAAAAGAATGAACCATGAATCACTATGTTTGAAATATTTCACTGGGAAAAAAAAACAAAACAGAATGAGTCACTAAACTTTCTTCAAAAGGTGTGGTCCGAAGGGAAGGTGCCCCACCTTCTGCCCCCCCTCCCCCTTTTCCAGCCACCGAAGCTACCCAGACTCTTCCCCGGGAGCTTTACGGGCAGGTTTACACGCTTTCTCCCTCCTGCCCGCTGTCTCTGTCACACTCAACCTCCAGCAGAAAACTCTGACAAGTCGAACACTGCACCCCAAACCAAACCCTACGCCCATTCGAGCTCGCTGAGGGAACCGGGAAGGGGGAGTTAAATTGGCCTCCCTGCCTCGAAACGGGCCCCCCCTCACAAAGCGCAGCCGTGGGCACCCACGGCCTCCAGTGACGGGCCCTCCTTTCGGAAACCCGGCCGGGATGCGGACCGGCGAGCAGTCCCCACACCTACCGCAGCTGGCTGCCGACCACCTCCTGGGCTCTAGAACTGTGAGAGACACACACACCCTCATACAGGATGACCCGACACGTGCCGCAGACACCGGAGGCCAGTGGGACCCACCACTCACGTGGGCGACGCCTTCCACTCTCCCTTTGTTACGAACGTGCTTCATCGCGTGTTGCGACAATGAGAAGAATTAACGAGACGACTTTAAAACGGGACCACGCAACTTTAAAACAGGACCACGCATAAGATAACTGGTAAGAAATAACCACTGAGTCAGAAGTCTAGAGCGGGAAGATCTTGTAGTAGGTTTTAGTCCAAGGCTTGTTTTACAGAAGAGACAATCAGAGTCCATTTGAGGTTTTGCCTAAAACATCAGTGCGTTCTCGGGAGCGGGGACGGACCCCACCAGGGACCACGTGCCCGGGAGGGCATGGGCGCACAAGCAGCCGCTCGCAACCCTTGTAACAGCCCAGCTCGGCAGCCGCTGTTCGCCGTGTGGGTGGGTGGAGCGAGGCATGGAGGTCCTGGTTCACACTCTCGAGGTCACACACGGGGAGGGGGCGGTAAAGCCAGGTTCCAAGCCAGCTCTGCTGGTCGCCACAGACCACCTCTGAGCACACACAGCGCACGGCTGCTGCTGCTGCTGCTGCTGCTTCTGCTCTCTCTCTCTCTCCCCCCCGCCCAACACGGGAGAGGAGGAAGGACCAAGCAGGAAACAGGAGTTCTACCTCCCACTCCCTCACACACACACACCTGAGGGCCCTGGGGAGAAGCCAGTTGACCTTGGCTCTGCCCTCGTCTCTCAGGTGAGTGGGAAGGACCAGCTCGCTAAGCTGTGTCTCTTCTTTAAGAACCCAGAGCTCTAAGCAGACTTCCCTTCCACTAGCCACTGGGGGCCTGGAACGCCCACTCTTCTGGGCCATATTTCCGCTGGGCTAGCTGACGTCTTCCGAAGTCTGGCCCAGCCCGTTCTATCGATGGGTGAAAAAAAAAATGAAGCTCCCGCAGTCAACTGGTCTTCCCAAAAATGTTTAGAGAGGCGGCGACCTTCCTCGCTAGGTCTAGCGAATGAATCTGCTAGTAGCTCCTAGGGCCGTCTCCGGCACCGCCTCCTCCTCCCCGGGGCCTGCAACCCCGCAAGGGGCTGTTATGAAGGCACAGACGTGGCCGCCCAATCCGTGTGCGTCAAGGAGTGCGAGACCGCCACAGGGTGGGGACCCTCTGCGACCAGGGGCGCGGCGCCACCCGACACTGGACTGCCGTCCGGCCTCCGTCAGGGCAGCTCCCGAGACGGGTGTTCTGCTTGGCAGCCGCCTGCTGCCGGCCGGCCGGCCCCTGGGCTGGGCGCCAGACGCCCTCACGCTGTCTGACCCTCGAGTCTGCTCCACCTTCCGGGTAGGAACCCCGAGCCCCCCCCCCCCCCCCTCCGCTTCAGGGATGAAGGAAGCTGAGGCGCGGACAGGTCTGCCCGAGCTCACACTTCCAGGAGACAGCGAGGCAGGACGCACGCCCGCGCCAGCTCTCACTTCGGAGCCCGCCTTCCGCCCGGTAACTGGCAAACAACAGGGGGAAGGAGTGTGGGTGCTTCCTCCGGCAACCGCGGGCTGCGCACAGCCCGGCTCTCTCGCCGGCACGGGGTCGGGCAGAGAGGGCCACCCCGGCGGGCCTCGTGCAGCCACGGGCCTGAACATCCGCAGTTTGCGCCCTGAGGTGAGGTCCTGGCTGGACCACCAGCCAAGGGTCACCCCAAGACAGTCCCCGAAATCTGCTTCTGGTAGGGAACACTTCCTGTGGGGCCAGGATACACTGCTTTCTCTGAGACAAAGTCTACCCGTGCCAGGCAGAGACCGACCAGCAAAGGTCCCCCCCCCCGCGGGTGCTAAAAGTGGCACCCAACCCCACACTGTGCCATGGGCTGACATGCAGCCACTGGGACGCCACCCGGGCCAAAGCTTGGGGTTCGTTTTTTGGGGACTAGAAACAAAGGTGCTTGGAGGGTTCTGGAAGAAGAACTAAAGAGGAGAAGGAGAGAACCAGTTATTGTAACTATCCTGGGGTTTGAGAAGGGGTACTATTTGAACAGACAATGCATTAAAGAGGAAGTTAAACAGTTTCTTGAGACAAACTGAAATGGAAACAATGTTATCCCAGAACTTGCAAGGGGGGGGCAGCAAAAGCGCTCTCACAGAGAAGTGCATAGCAATAAACTCCTACACTGAGAAGCGAGAAAGGTCCCAAATCTCTGTTGTTTAACAGAACTCTGTGCCTTGGGGAAACAGAAAGAGAACACACGGAACCCAGAAGAGTTAGGAGAAGAAAAGAAATAATAAAAATCAGAGCAGAAATAAATAAAAGAGAACAAGAATAATAGGAAAGAAAAAATAATAGAAACAAACCAACTAAGAGTTGGTTCTTTGAAAAGATAAACAAAATTTTCAAACTCTTAGCTAGACTATTAAGAAAAAAAGCAGGGACCCAGATCAACGTAATCATAAATGAAAAGGGAGATGCTGTAATGAACGCCAGAGAAATCCGAAAGGCCGTAAGAGGCTACCCGGAACAGCTGTGTGCCAGCAAACGGCACAGCCCAGAAGAAGTGGAAACCTAAATGACACCTAAATCACAGGAAACAAAATCCAAAATAGTCAGTGAGGCCACAGCAAACTAAACAGATTCTGCCCAGCAAAGGCAACCATCGGCGAAGAGAAGAGACAAACTACAGAATGGGAAAAAATATTCATAAACTGTATCTGATAAGGGGCTAATAGCCAAAGTATATAAAAAACTCATACAACTCAATGGCAAAAACACACAAATAATCCAATTAAAAATGGATGAGTGACCTTAACAGACAGTTCTCCAAAGAAGACACACGAAAGGCTAAGGGACATAGATACACGGAAAGGTGCCCAACATCACAGTCGTCAGGGGACAGCGAATTAAAGCCACAAGGAGGCGTCACCTCACGCCTCGCAGAATGGCCGTCACCACAAAGAGGCAACAAGCGCCGGCTCGGAAAGAGGAC